CGCGCGGCTCTGCTGGAGCTCTGGCTGCAGAGGAGCTGATTCCTGCCTTGGAGCCCCCAGCCCTGAGGGCAGAGGCTTTGCTGGCTGGGAGAGGAGGCCAGGGGGATTGCTCAGAGGAAGGGCTCTGCATTGGAGGGGATGATATGGAGCTTTCTGAGTTCTCCCTCTCACAACATTTCTGGTTTTACTTTCCTCTCATACCCTGGGATCATAGCCCTGCTGCCTGGAGATGCTCACCCTGGGAGGTGTTTCCCTGTCCCATGTCTTTTTCCTGTCATCACTCACAGACCCCATCCCAACCTCTGTGCATTCACCCTGGCCCTACAGAACCCTGCCTGTCTGCAGGGCTGTACCTGGGCTCTTCTTCCTGTTTGCAGGTGGAAAAAAGGACAGGTCAGACTAAGCCTGATGGGTCAGCAGAGGTGATGCTGGTGCTGGCCATAGGCAGAGGAGTGGCTGAAGGTACTTTACCAGGCTCCTGGAAGCCCTTTTAATCACACACAGTTGCATTTCAGGAGTCTTAGTGACTTGTCAAAACTTGAGAGCTCCTTTTCCATTTATCCTTTTCTCTTGCCCCTCCAGACCCCTGGAATAGGAAATTGAAAGCACAGAGTCAGGGAAACTCCTTGTCTTTATAGTAACCCCTGCCTTGATCTTCTCCTTGAGATATCCCTGTGGAAATGTCCTGGGGGTGATGTGGAGCTGTGAGCAGCCCTGACCCATGCAGGACCCTCTGGACAGCAGAAGGATCCTGCCTTGCTGGGGGCTGCTCCTTCCACCCACAGCTTCTCCCCACAGCACCATGGTAAACTTCCCAGACAGGCTGAGCGCTGACCGTGGCAGGAGGCAAAGTCTCTGCCCCAAAACAAAATCCTCTGGGACACAGGGACCCTGCTGGGAAGGACAGCCCTGGGCACCCACCAGTGCACACCCACTTTTACACCCCTGCAGCCATTAGGTGAAGGCAGCCATCATGTTCTGTCCCTCTGATGGTGAAGTGGAATGTCCCTGCTCTGCAGCACGTCCTCCTCCTTTACAAGAGAGAAACTGTGAGATGTGCACTCACAGATATTGTGGGATGTGCCCCTTTAGGAGATCCCACCAGAAACTGAAGCTGCATTGCCCTGCACCCAGAGACTTACCATGCAAAGGACTCTAAAGATTTGTCCGCCAGTGAGCTCTCAGTGTCCTCCCACCCCAGTCTGTCTTTAACCTCTGCCTCCCTCCTCTCCCCTCGCTGCCTGCAGGCAGTGCCCTCAGCCCTGCTGCCCTTTGCAGAGGAGCTGCTCCTGGGCAGAGCTGTCTCTCTGCAGTGCTGCCCGCTTGCCACGAGCTCCCTCCATCCCAGGAGCCCAGCCCAGCTCAGCAGCAGAGGACCAACCCAAGGCAGCGCTTGCTCTGCTCCCTTGGGGCTCCCTCCGGGTGTCCCTGGGGCTCCACGGGAACCTGCTGTGACACAGGCTGAAGTCATCAGTGGTGTTCCCTCCTTCAGCTGGGGAGAGACACTTATTCCCAACACTGTATTTTCTCCCATGAGGAAAAGATTTGGGCGTGAGAATCACCTTTCCTTGTCCCATCATTAGAAAGACAACCAGAGAGTTACAGGGAGCAATCTCCTTTACCCCTGCTGAGGGAAGGGATGCAGATGAGTCAACAGACACATCTCATTTGTGGGTTTTTAGTCCTGGGGCTAGAAGGGGACTCAGACTCCTCCCATGCACAACACAAACCCACAGGAGGCGAGATTCCTCTTGCATTAGGTGTTCGGGTGTGCACAAAAGAGGCACCTGCACCTGAGCCCCTTGTCTCAGCTCCCACACCAATTAATGCAGACTGGGCTGTTCAGACACAACGCCTGGTGACATTTCAGGTGTCAGGGTTGCTTAAAGATATGTGAAGGCAACTGCAAGCTCTAATGGAGCAGCTCATAGAGACAGGCCAACATCTGGGGGAATCCACTTAGAAGCTGCTGGGAATTTTCTTTGGCCAACTGGATTGACAGCTGATGCCTAAATTACCACTCATGATGTGCGGGGCAGCCTTTAGAGTTATTCAGGTGAACAACGGGAGCCACATGCCACAGAGAGAGCTCAGGCTCACTCTTTCTTTTCTCCATCAGCTGTATTTACTGGGTCTCCACTCACTGTATTGGCAGTGCCTCGTGTTCGTCCCTGCATTGCCTTACAGAATTCAGGGTATCTACTCAATTTAGGTTTTAAGAGCTGCATGAGAGGCCAAGGCTTGCAGAGACAGCACAGGACCAGTGACCAGCGGTGTTCTTAGGGGTCGGTACTGGGACCAGCGCTGTTTAACATCTTTATCAGCGACACGGACAGTGGGATTGAGTGCACCCTCAGCAAGTTTGCTGATGACACCAAGCTGTGTGGTGTGGTTGACCTGCTGGAGGGTGTCCTCACACTGCTCCCCTGCTCCAGCATGGGGTCCCTCCCATGGGACGCAGTCCTCCATGAACTTCTCCAGCGTGGGTCCTTCCCAAGGGCTACAGTTCTCCACAAACTGCTCCAGCGTGGGTCCCCATGGGGTCACCAGCCAGGACCCCTCCTGCCATGCTGCTGGAGCCCAGTACACACCAGTGCCACCTAGTGCAGTCCTCCTGGCTGCTGTAGCCCAGCCCAGTGCCTAGGGATCTGGAGTCTTTGCCCAGGCTGAGGGATGCAAACCTGCTCCAGCCTGGGCTCCTCTCTCCACGAGGCCACAAGTCCTGCCAGCAGCCTGCTCCAGCGTGGGCTCTCCACAGGGTCACAGTCTCCTTCGGGCACCCCGCTGCTCCAGCATGGGGTCCACCGCAGGCTGCAGGTGGGGATCTGCTCCACTGATAACCTCCATGGGCTGCAACGGGACATCCTGCCCCACCACGGGCTGCAGGGGAATCTCTGCTCTGGTACCTGGAGCTCCTCCTGCCCCTCCTTCTTCCCTGACCTTGGTGTCTAGTGCAGGCACACACACACTCTCTATGCCCACAAGCACACGCATGTTCATGGATCCTCTGGGTACTGGCACAGACCCTCTGTCCCCCTGGTACCCCTGCCCAGATCCTGGCCCTCTGACCCACCCCACGGGTCCCCTGCTTGCTGACTGCTCCATCGTGGTGCTCCCTGCAAACATGCAGCACTCACACCTCCTCCTGCGGGCACCACACACTTGTGCACCTCCCCAGGTGACAGCACGGACCCCCTGCCTGCCTGATACCCCAGCCCGGAACCAGTGCCCCGAGTCACCAGCTGGTCCAGCTTGAAGTTTGCTGGGAATTCACAAGCACACCCCATAAACACCAGGCTGGGGGAAGACAGAGACACTCACAGAGCCTCTCATGCTGGTACTCCTAGTAGGTGGTCTGCAGGGAACACATGATTATTGCCCCCGTGCCTGGTGGCCAAGACCACCATTCACTCCAAAACCTGCACTGTGACCCACGGCAGTAGCTGGCACCACAAACCAGGGGTGGATGCCTAAGCCCCCTGCTTGATTCCAGTAGCTGGCACCGAGTGAACCCACTCCAGCCCCCAGTAGCTGCCACATAGTTCTTTCAGTCCAGACACAGGATGGAGAGTAAGATTATGCAGAGAGAACATTAAGAAAATATTTAATAAGAAGACAGAAGATGCTATGAAACCCTTGTCTCTGGAGAGACTCTGGTGTCATCTGAAGCTGCTTCTTTTGCTTGCCAGCTCTTCAAGTTCCTGAAAGAGTTGCTGGCACAGTTCCTTT